AGGGTAACGGAATTGGTGAAGATCCCACCTAATCCAACAAAGCCAAATGAATGTCACACTTATTCCAAATTGAAAATTGGGTAAGAAAATAAAGTTTTATCTTTAAGGGAAAGGAATTTCAGAGACCCATGCCACTTTCTAATTCCTCCAGAAAGAAAAATTATGTACACTAAATTAGTCACAGCAAAACCACAGAGTGACTGAACAGCACATTTAAGTAAGAGTTCGTAGTTTCAGTTTAAGACAAAATAAGCTAAGGAAATTGTTTGCTCTATTTGTTCATAATCATTAGCATTTTATATGGTAAGAATGCAACTAGATCATATTATACAGATGCCCCTCCTTCTCAAGATTTTTGAAAAAAAAATCCTTCTGATATCTACATAATTTTAGATTTCAATAAGCCTCATAGTGTCAAAGTATTCTTAAAGAGCAATACAGGCACATACAGGAGCAGCGAGTTATCAGAACACTGAGAAAGCAGACAGCATTTGATTTATTAAGAAATTATTAAAAATAACTACTTACACAAATTAAAACAATATCACGCCTAAATCCTACCAGCTTCAGTTTATAGCTCTCTACTATTGTCTTCATTGTTGTTCATAACAATAAACAATTTCCCAGTCACTAGTTACTAAATTTCTAAGGAGCCCATGACATTAACTCTTTAATAGATTATTTTCTCCTTTTGGAACATTCCAGCAGAAACTCACTGGCCCAGAATACCCCAGGAAGCATAAGACAACTCAGATCCACAAAGCTGGATGCACGCAATGTTAGAAATTCTTCATACATGTACCTCAGTTAACCTGGTATGTGCCAGTTAATGTGAGATTAAATCAAACTAAAAATATTTGCGCAGAGAATAGCATTAATGCCAACAAATAGGAAGTTTCTCTGTTGTGTTTCATTTATAGATAGGTTAACCATGTTGTACCTAACAACTAAGTTTCTAAAATGCTGAAGAAAACCAAATACAAGTTTCAACAATAATTGACTTTGATACTTCAGAAATATCCAAATTTAATCATCAGTTTTGCTGTCCTTTGGTCTTCCATGTATACCACTATAAATGGACATTGATGTATGCAAGAAGAGACTTCTAGGCAGATAAATCCTGTGCAGAATCTCTCTTCTTCCCCCCATCTAAGGAAGTCCTGCTGTGTTCTTCAAGGTCTAATCCAAATCACAAGTCCTGCTAAAAACGTCCTCTTATGGGCCTCAACAGAAGTAATCAATACTCCACTTTTCACCAGGAACCTGTTCCTTATATTACTGATAACATAATTATTTCTTCCTTCCTTCTAATAAATATGTTTATAAGTCTCCAGCTATAACAGCCTTTGCTTGGTTTTCATTACTTCTATCAAGAGACACAGTATCTCACACACATAAGGCATAAGTGACAAAAGTTTGGGTCTTCCTGAGATTTGTTTTAATTCATAATTTTAAAAAACAGAAAAAAAAATGGACCCCTCTTTCTCTCCCACCAAACCAGCCCTTACTTCCTTACTTTCTTATTTCTTCTCCCAATGGCAAAACCACTGAGACCTTACAGTGCCTTTGAGTCTTCTTTCTCACTTATACTGACCAATCCTGTGCTAAGTCCTCCACAATATCTTTGCACTTGTTGCCACTACAAATGTCCTTCTTCAGTCCCTCTTTTGCTTTTATTAAAACTATTACAATAGGCTCCTAATTGGGAGATTCCCACGATTAGTACTAAGACAGGCTCTAATTATAATAACAGCTTCAAGATATATGAAGCAAAATAAATAACATGTACAAAACCTGATAGTAATAATTAGATATTTTAGGAATCTTCTATTAGTTATTGAGAGACATAGATAAAATCAGTAAGGATATAGAAATCACTAGAGACATATAACATGGTGAAATAATTTGGCATAATTGACACTTACAGAACATTTCACAATAAATGCAGAACATAACTTACTTTATAGTGCACATGGAAAATTCACCAAGCTAGACCATATTTGGGGCCATAAAATAAGTCTTGATAAATTTCAAAGTATCAGAGTCATGAAGAGTATGTTCTATGACCACATGCTTAGTAAGTGAGAAATCAATAATAAAATATCAAAAAAAAACTTTCCATGTAATTTGAAATGAAGCAAGTAGTACACTTCTTAAAAGAAAAAGAAAAGAAAGCCATAGGTCAAAGAAATCACAAGAGAAACATTTTATACTTCAATCTAAATTGTAGTGAAAATACAAAATACAACTTGCAAAATTTTTGGAATGCACTTAAACTATTGCTAAAATGAAAGTTTATAATTTTAATTGCTTATATTTGGAAACAGGCATTAAAATAAAGCTTCCAACTTAAGAAGCCAGAAAAAGAGAAAAGAGTACACAAAGTAAATTGAAGGAAGGAAATAAAAATAAGAGTAGAGATCAATAAACTATAAAAAACAACAAAAAATAAAGAGTAAAAAGTTGTTTCTTCAAAAATATTAATAAAAATATTAATATAAAGAACAAAAGATAGAAAACAAATTGCCATTATCAGGGATATAATGAGACATTGGTAAAGATCTTACAGGAATTTTTTTAAAAAGATGAAAAAGAAGAAATTATAAAAAATTATGCCAATAAATTTGACAACTCAGATGAAATAGAGAAATATCTTTAAAGGCATAGATTAGTAAAAACTGACTCAAGAAGAAATAGAAATTCTGAATAGCCACCTAGCTATTAAAGAATTTGAGTTCAAAATTAAAAACCTTCCCAAAATGAAAACTACCAGCTTAGAGGATTCATTAATGTATGAAATCCTATCATACATTAAAAAAATATATAAACTTTGCAAAATAACAAGCTAGAACTAATAAATGAGCCAGATAAAGTTGCAGAATACAATGTTAAAATATTAAAAAAAACTATTACATTTCTACATCCTAAAACCAATGTTGGAAATTCAAATTTTAAAATGTCATTTAACATTATAAGTCAGAAAAAAAATAGAAAGAAATCTTAAAAAGATGTACAAGACCTATTTTCTGAAAACTACAAAACATCCATGAGAAACGTTAAAGGAGATCTATTAAATAAATGGATCAATAAGCCATGTTCTTGGATTGAAAGATTCAATATTAAGATGTCCATTCTCCTCAAATTAACCTAAACACTCAACATAATCCTATCAAAACATGAGCCGATACTTTTTAATAATGTGACAAGCACTGTAAGATGCAGAAATTCAAATGCTCTATAGATACAAAGCAAGCAATACATTTTCATTACATTCGAAAAGCAGAAATAAAAGCAATCATCTTGAGAGACTACAAACTTGATGAGTTTTTATGAGTAAGCTGGGCATTTGAATATAATTATCTAAGTGCACAAATATTTGGTTCTTTCTGATGTCTCCCCCACTGACAGTTCTGTGTATTTGTAATACACTATTCATTAATCTATATCCAAAGAAAGTAATCATTTTCAGGGTAATAACACTGATGATGCTTGCGCAAAGGAAAACTGGGTTGTAATCTAGTGTTAATTAGTGAATACTTGTTAACATGTATAGAAACTAATAATATTTTATTTGTAAGTTCCATAATGAGATATCATTTCCTTGTCCTTAAAAAACACTACAAGGACATCCTCCAACTTCAACTGCTGGCACAGTTCATATCTTTCAATTACACTGGAGCGTCAGTGCTCAAAGAGTGGCTGGGGGACTGCCCAAGTTTCCTTAATAATCACACTAAGATATTATTTGCCTTTTTTACATTCAATTTCTCATAAATGTAAAGTACAGTTTTCCCAGAGGTTACATGACATGTAATATACCAACAGATTAAATGCAGAAGCAAAAATGAAAATGCAGCTGTTTTCTGAGACAGCAATTAAAGAGATTTACAAAAGTGCAAAACTGTCATTTTCAATATTTTTGTCTTGGAAAAGAGTTAAATTTTATTAATTTTTATGTTACATGTAATGCACTTAAACTTATTATCTTAAAGGAATATTTTTAATTCTTAGTTTTAATTTTTAATATGGTAAGTACTGATACACATAACGCATAATAAAATTTTGATAACTCAAAGAACTTTTAAGAATATAAAGTGGAATTGATGGTAGAAAAATTGAGAATCGCTAGTATACAGTAATAAATAATTTTAAGTGGTACATAAAGAATAACTGATCACTAAAATGAAAAAGGAAGGGATTACTATACATTATTACTTAGTTTTTCATAGTAAGACACTATATTAAGTCTCTTTCTGGACCTTAAATTAATAAAGTTCACTAATAAAAGAAAAGACCTCAGGCCAACACAACAGAAGATACACTTAGGATCCCCATACATAATTGCTGTTTTTCTTCTTCCCTTTCTTGATGCATCTCTAGTATAACCGAACAGAAAAGTAGTTTTCCAAGTTTCTTGTCTAACTTTAAAGTTAAGTATTACCCATGTATTATACATATTAAACCCCTATCTCCCAAACTCTCCTTCCGTTATTTTATTGTTTTCATCATTGTGCTTACAGCCTTCTGTTATATAGTTTACCTAATTATTACATTTTTTTCCTGTCACCCCACTCAATAGTAGGTAAACAAGAATAGGGTCTTTTTTCTGATTTATTCACAAACAGATCCTCAGCACCTGTAACAGTGCCTACGAAAAAATTAGGACAAAGTGAATATTTGGCGAATGAATTAACAGATATTTTACTGAATTAAAATATAAATTTGCCCAGGGGAGGACAAATATGTCTTACCAAATTAACACTTTCAAATGGCCAGCAGACAAAAAGCTATGTGGGCAGGAGGGATACGGTGACCTACAGAAAAACTCTCAGGGCAGAACAGTTTTCCCTCTTGGACCCAGAAATGAAGAAAGGAAAGATGAAGGAAAGCAGAAGAATATGGAAACAATCTGAACTGTAGGTAAGGAAAGCAGGTTTCTTCCAATCCTAGGTTCCAGGAATGCAAACAAAGAAAAATAAGGGTAAGAGCAGCAAACACACCTCTCTTCTCCCGATGTATTTCTTCCAGAAGCTGCTCCTGCCTTTCTATCTGGTCAAAGAGACACTGGAGCTCAGATTCCTTGTTTTCAGTCATGTTCCTGAGTTGCTGTCTACACAGCATTAGTTCGTGCCGCAGACTTTTCTCTCTGTTTTCTCTCTCTTTCAGTTCCTCACAGAGCCATTGAAGTTTAGTCTAAAAAATGACATTTATAGCTAATTAAGACCAAAAAAAAGACAAAAAATCTAAAAAATGTAGTATTTCAAAACAACAGGAAAAAATAGTATCATAATAATATGAACAAATACAAACAACAACAAATTTAAGCAAAATAAAAAATACACACAACTGTTCATATCAGTTCAAAGCTGGTGTGAAATCAAGCCATGATTTCGTTGGATTTTTATTAAAATTTGGCATAATCTATCATCTTTGTTAAGGAAATACTACAGAAAAATGTGGTCTACTAACTAAAATTCTAATCAGAATACAATTAGCCCCCTAATTTGGTATATAAAGCAGTTTAATAAAGCATTTAAAAATCAAAACCACCCTGGAATAGGACTAGAGATTTCTTATAAAGGGGGATTTTATTGCAGAGAGTTTAAAAAAAAAAAAAAAAGGTCTAGCTTTGCTTGCTAAAATTGCATATTCCCAGAATCTAATCAGGTAGAGAGAAAGACTTCAGGGAGATAAAGTCAGCCTTTCCCTACCTTGAAGAGATGAGAAATCTTTATTGAAGCAACTCTCTTTTTCAGACTCTTAACCTCACCATCTGTAATATTTAACCTATTCTTGCTCTGTGAGTGAATTACATATTTAGAAAATCACCTCAGATTTCCCTTTTCTCAATGCTTTCCTTCTTACCCTATCCCAGTCGTTGGCCTGTGTTAACTACCATTGCTAAGAAGTGATAACAGAAATACAGCAAATCTGTTTTTCATAGCAATAAGCCTATTGGTTGTGGAAAACAAAAACAAAAGCCTCTGAAACAAAGCACTAATCAGGTTTGATATGTGTTGTTATGAACTGAATTGTGTCCCCTCAAAATTCATACGCTGAAGCTTTAAACCTCCCTGTGGCAGTATTTGGAGATAGGATTAAGGTAATTAAGGTTAAAGGAGGTCATAAGGGTGGGGCACAGGGCTTACAAGAAAGCCTGCACTCCCTCGTCTTTCTGATTTCCAGTCCCCTAACTTGGCCAAAGCACCCCATCCCACCCCATCCAAACACAAAAGGTGGCAGTCTGCAAGCCAGAAAGAGAACCTAACAGAAACCAACCCTGACCCCTCGATCTTGGACTTCTACCCATTAGAACTGTGAGAAAATAAATGTCTGTCGTTTAAGCTACTGTCCAGCCTGTGGTATTTTATTATGGTGGTCTAAGCCAACTAATATAGTACAATATAACCTATGGCTTTAGTTTATTCATATGAAACCTTATTCCATTGCCACATAAAGTTTAAAAATAGGTTACAGTTAGATGCTTTTTAATGAATTGACTATGTATGCAGAATATATTTATTAATCCTACAAAACAGTGTACCAATTTATGGGAATTTAATCAAACAATATTCAATTACGACAATCTGTTAGAGAAACACTCAGCATCTTCATTAAGTATCTCACAGAAACAGCTTGAAACACAGAATAGGAATAACTTTAACAATTCCAAATAATAATTATCTGACAAGACTATTAATCACAGTGCCAACACCATTCTATTAACTACTCACAAGAGCATTGTACAGATTACATAATGGGCTCATTTATTTAACTACATCAACAAGTATTGTTAAATAAACCAAAATAGAGAAAGAATTTCTAAATAAGGCAGTTTTTACCTTCATAGTTGACAGCTTGCAATTTAGTGGAAATACTTACAATTATCTAGTAAAACAACCACGATGGTCTTTTTACTCTATAAGAATACCCTTACTTAAAGTTAGCAATATTAGGACCAATAATTATGCTTGGCTAGCTTCAAAATTCATCAAGCCATCACCCCCTTCCAGCTCCTGTATACCTCTATCACAGCTCTTACCTAGAATACTGACATTTTCTACAGAACTGTTGTCTTTTCTAGACAAAGTATGTCCCTGAAGAGGATTATGTCTTAATTCATTTTTATGTCCAGAGCACACATCATAGCATGTAGGGCACAGTAGTTTCTGAATAAATTATCAATTAAAGTGAATAAAATTTGATCTCTACATCCCCTGTCAAGAGCTATGACAAAAATAAATCCCTAATCCCTGGAAACCCCTTGCCTGGCATTCCTTCACAACCATCCCAAACCCTCTTCCGCCCCATAATGCCTTACTCTCACCATTCATCGGATATTTTATCTGTATGCTTGGAGTCCCACTCGAAGTTGGAGTTCATGTGTACGCTATGCCAACAAAGCTGTAGTGACACAGTCCCCCACTCAATCCTCTAGCTCTTTTAGGATTAACACTAACAGAAGAAATTCATTTGGCAGATTTACGAAAACAATTACCAAAGGCCCTCAGAGGTCCGTCTAATACCACAAGATGTCAGCATGGACTAGCTGAATAGCAATTCTACTTTCCATATAGTTTTTTGTCCTTTGATTTCAGATCTTATCTTCAATACTTATAGAGCTGTCCCCCCGTAGTTCATGGGAACTACAGTATTGTAGCCCATCAATAACCGAAGCCATCTTTCCAGTAAATAGATTCAATTCCTCCTTAGCCGTTGGTCAGTGTGGTATTGTTTATCAGGACCCTTTTACACTGTAGAGGAACAGTTGTCTCATGCAGTATTAAAACTCATCCGATCAGAAGTTCAATCCCATTAAATGATAAGGGAAAACTGCTGAGTAGTTCCCAAATTAAAGAGCTATGATTAAGAGTCATCTCTGGCTCTCATAATTTAGCTGAACAACAGCAGGGAAAGCTTTCTGTTCAAAAATGATAAAGATTTTAACTTGCAAGAAAAGTCCAAGTGTATTGCTCTTGTCAAAACTGTGGAGTTGGGAAAAAGAAACAGGAGACATGTTTTATTAAGGCACAACAGAATTTTCTAATCCAAAAATTCAGGGACAGCAAAACATGTATATTATAAATGGCCTATGCAGGTGACATAAGTGCTAATTTGCATTTGATTCTAACAGGAATGCACAGGATCATTGTCTTAAAGTAGGATAGCGGATTTGACAAGGCTGGGTAAATTTCTATATTTAATCATAATACTGTTAGTCTCTTATTAAGAACTTTTTGAGGGGGGCTTCTCTAATGCATATCTGGCCTCCAAGGGGAACCTTGTCTTTCCACCGCCTCCCACCTGTACCTCACCCACCAATCTCAGGCATTCTCTGTGTTTATTCAAATATTCTCATCTTTTTGTCATTGTTTTACCTACACTTAGCCAACTGGAGAACTTGTGCATATTTTTTGTATGACCAAGTAAGAACCCTGCATTTTCGGAGAAGCTTTCTGTGACAAGCTGGCAGCACCGTAGCCCCCATTCTCCCAGCACGAACATCCCTCCTTCCTGTGTTCCTTTGTCAGTGTTTACATAGCTCTATAACCATGTAACACACCTTAAGGAGACTTAAATTGGTTAACATAGCCATTCCCCCCATTAACTTTATTAACTTCCATGGTTTGCTAACACTTCCATCCCCATTCTCTATACACCAAAAAATACACAATCAATAAGTCTTGGCCGAAAGAAGACTTTGCATGGCAATGCATACAATGGAGAGAACACTCACTGTGAGTCAACATGGCATATAATCTATTTTCCCATTTTTTATGTGGCACTGGTAAAGTCACATACCTTGTCTGAAACCTCATTTTTCTCATATTTTTAAATAAGGACACCGTACAAACTTAAAGGTTCTTTCTTGCAATAAAGTCCTAAGCTGGACCATAATGGGTCAGGTTTACAGTACTGGTGGTTTTCTTACAGAATTTAAATGGGATGGAAGATTTTGCACTTTAGTATGTTAAAGCTGAAAAAAAACTAATCTAAAAATGAATGCAAGTATTTAAATATTGGTACTAGAATACACACATATCTCCATCTTATGTGGTCATAATTTTCAGAATATTTTAATTTTTATATATTTGAATTTACAAGTTGATTTATGAAGATAGCTGATAATTATCCACCGTGTAGAAAAATCTTCTTGCTAAGATTAGCAAATTATCCAAGTTTACTTATATTTGCTTACCTTCCCTTAAATTCGAATCATAATTCCAAAGAACCATGCAGCAGGAACGTTATCTTCAGAACTTAAAGTCAATCCCTCCAATGTTGTAAATGAGGAAACAAGACACCCAGGAAGGTGAAGGGATTTGCTTAAGCCACACAGAGATTTGGCAGGCTCTGAGCTCACCCTCAGAAACCAAAATATAGTAAGTATATATGTGTAAGGAAAGTTGGTTACAGCTGCCCCGACCTCTGTACACTTCAGAGACATTGCCTATCCCAAGGAAAAGGCACAAGAATTTGTCTCTCTGACAATCTAGTTTTAATATTTCAACAGTATTACCTTTCTTTATTCTCCCATTCCATCCTTATACATTTAAGCTAATTTTTAAATGTTAAGCTAAAGGAACATGCAGGTTTCTCAAATGCATTACCATATTTCTCCTAGCAGTAAAGTACTACAGCTTCATATGCTCAGTTATGTGACAAAAATATATGGCTAGCCCAAATAGAACACCTTAAAGCTCATAAATATTATGATAACTTTAGGATTCAAAAATTAATTACCTTACTTTCTGCTAACCAGCGATGTGGGTCATAATTAATATCAGGACCAGATGAAAAAACCTGAAAAAAAAATTAACATAGTCTATCAAAAGCAGATTTTTCTCCAAAATGAATTTACCTGAATGAAATTTTTCACTTTAACATCCAAAAGTTTAGTGCCTAAACTTAAGGGTTTAGAAAGAAGACAGTTCATACCAAGTACTTAACCAATTCTAAACCACCATTTATTTAACATGTCTATTTATGTAAATATATATATGTTTAAGCACATATATATATGCTTATACATATAAACATACACACACACATATATAATGTATGTTCTGACAGTAAATACTTAGTTCAAATGCAAAGACATGAATCAATGCTTAGTGCTGTCATTGCTAGTATCTCTGGAGGCTGATTTCAGAGTTCTGCATGTCAAGCAGCCTCAATTAAACTAGTTTACCTCATTTTTTTGTTTGTTTCTTTTCCTCAGTCTTGTTCCATTTAATGTATTTCACAGTGGGTTAAATGTAATTACATGGAAACTTAATTCTTTGTCTCATTTATCCTTTTTTAATTTTATACAATGAGGGCCATTTTGTCTCATTAATGGTTATATAGAAATGACAGGAACTAATCAATGTAACTTGATGCAGTCATTAATTTATATTTTATGATGGTAACAAAATCCTACAATAAACAGGTTGTCTATGTCAGCTGACCTGATTTCCTTCACTCCAACGCATTTATAAAATCATTGCCATCTGGCTCTGCATTATTACTGATGAAACTGCACTCAAAGGTTACCAACGATTTTACAATTGTAAATAAATTTGTTTTCTCAATTCCTACTTTTGTTGAACCTATGATATTTTGGTAGGACTTCTTTCTAGCAATGTTCTCTTAAAAATACCCTATCCTCTGCAAGAGATGTCTGTTCCAATTCTCAAATACTTCCATGCTTTCTGATGTGTGCGTGTACACACCTCTCCTTTAAGTAATATCATGAGGTAATTCATTCAGACATATGGCAATGAGTGCCGACCACATGCCATATCCGAGAATGTTGAATTCTCATATCCAAGCTTTCTCTCACCTACTCTTTCGCTGTAAATCTCACCCAACTCTCACACCCTCTCTCCCAGTCTTTCCAAAGGAACTCTCCCTAATCACTCCAGTGCATAGGGGAAAAAAATTTGTTTTGCTCCAATGGCCATTTTCTTTATGCTCTACAAATAAATGAATACTCAAATCAAGTGTTACGGGAAAAGCTCTTGAATTATCAAAGACTGGTCTGAGAAAATTATGCTACTTTAATTCACACGTTTTCCTAATTGTTTTGTTATGATGGTGGTTTATTAAGTGTCTATCCTGAAGTTTTCAAACACTATAGGCATTTACTAAAGTAGAACAAGTAATAAATATGGTCGTTGGAAAAAGAAAATTATAGTTAGAAATAATGCCAATATCCCCAAGGACTTTTCCGAGACTCATTTGTTACATATCTATGATTCAATCCATTCCATAGCACAGTCACTCTCTACATAAAATGATTGAAAATTTCATCAGCAATACTTCAAAAAGTCAACAAATGACAAAGAATAATTGGAATTAATCCATTTAAAAAAACATTTTACAAGGATCACCACTCTCCCATAGATCTCTGAACTATAAAGCAAAGAATTTATTTAACAAATACCCAAGGATAGTTTCTTTGAGGTGAGAGCAAATGTTAGTTCTTCAGTATTCCTTTTCTTTTCCCTCAAGTTTACAGAAATGGAACAACAGAAGTTATATGTAGAGAGAGATTCACATTAAAAAAAAAAAAGTACTCTTAAAAATAAAAACTGAATAAAATTTCCATTCTTTTAAATCTCTTTCCACCCATCACTTTGGAAAAAAGGTGTAAAGACCCATTACTACAATTTTTCCATTCCTGAAAGCCTACTAAAGAATAGGGTGCTTTTCAGAATATGTTGGATGGAAGGATAATTTGAGCAATCTGTTATGTGCACACTATGGTTTAGCCTATAATTAACCATAACAAGGCTTATAAACCTTATAGCATGATCCAAATGATTCTATTTTTACATCTCCACCTGACTGAAAACAAAGTTGTCCTGACATAAATACTTAAATACAGAATAAAAAGTGCATTGTTAATAGCTGATTCTTTTAGCTGAAATTAGGATTTCAAGGCCACACATCCTTTAAATGAATGTAAACAAGAAAAATCTTAAATAAATACAGCAACATTAGATGAAAAAGAGACTAAATCAGCATTATAGCAGGCCCCATAAGAGGATGAAAAGAGTTACGTTTTTCCTAAAGCCAATTACTTGTCATATTTGGCTCGCAGTCCTCTTAAACTGCCCTCTGATTTGTTTTAACAATGTACACAGAAATACATATCGTAGAAATTCCACCAACTCCACCAAATTCTATCAGTTGAAATATTTTCATTAAAGTCAAATTCTAAGACACCTTCTACTTCACAAGTACAATTATAGTTTTATTTCTTTAAAACACCACTTAAGAAAGAGCAGGAAAAAAGAAGGGAAAGTAGAATGGAACAGAATGGTCATTTTACATAAGGAAAAGGATGAATGACAAAAGTAAAAGAAGAACCTGAATTTTTTTAAAAGCCCTTATGCATAACACTACAATTTGAGTACTGTCACATCATCAGAAGAAATAAATATAGTGGTAAATGACAGCTGGTGTTGGATTATGCCATATCAAAGCGATCCAGCACTCTCTGTAAGTATGTAACGGTATAAGAACCTGGAGATAATAGAGGTGCTTGCCTTTAAGAAATTATGAACATCCAATGATTACTTTTATTTTTCTTTATCATTTCACTAAAACTATAAATTGAGCAGCAATCAATATTCCACTTTAAAGATAGAAAAGCTAAATTAAATATAATTTGTTTAAATAGGGCAGGCAAATAGCATAGTGGTTACTTGATGAAGCTCCACAGTTAGACTCCCCAGGTCTGAAGTCTTAGTTGGAGCATTTAACTAGATATAGGGCCAGGGGCAAGTTACTTAACCGCTCCAAGCTTTGCTTTCTCTTGCCAAAAATAGATTTAATCAGAATATCTAAAGGATAGGGTGGTTTTAGGGGTTAAGGGAGTGAAAGCATATGCCACACTTACCGCAGTACCTACAACATAACTACTACTCAATAGATGTTGGCCAGTAACATACCAACAACAAAAATGGCCTATGATAATGAAAAATTCAAAACACAGGCCTCATGAATCCAAGGATGTATTTTAACTCGAACTGCTGCCTCTCTTGTAAAACATTTTCATATACAGAGTGAGACACAGGCAATTCAAAGGAATGGCAGCACGTTTTCTCTCACCATGACTATGCAATAGATACAGTACCTCATTCTAAAAACAGCAAGATGTTATTTTCTTTCATAAAACTTTCAGGAATAAAAATGTGATTACCATGTAAAAATGCATTAAAATCTTATTATAATTATATATTAGGAAACTAAGTGAAAGTTGCAATGAGAACTCATAATTACTTTCAATCTCTCCATCGAGTCCCTGGAGAAGGTTTTACAAGCTGCATCAATTTCCTTTCCTATCACACCAAGAATGGATTCCTGTTCAGTCTCCAGACAAAGAAGTTGATCCTTGAGCTGCAATCTGGCCTCTTCCATCCTCCTTAAGTGCTCTTCTTCATTGCTTATATGTTTCTCCTAAAGCATTCACAAGAAACAAAAACAATAAGTGAAGGCAAGAAACACCTATAATATCTGTACAACCAACTCAAAGAATTGTGTCAGGAAACAGATCTGACTCTGTCAGTCCCTTTACTGAAATAAAACATTCCACCTGCTCATTAACTGAGGTCAAATTGTAGAGAATTCATATGCATTGAGGGAACCGGAGTGTGGATTCTTGACAAAGAAAATTATAGTTAATCTGTGGCCAAAAGAAAATGTTGAAAAAAGTCCTTTACCATTTTAATAATTTAATGTCATTAACGCATCAAAGAGTAAAAGCTACAAACTGACTTTGGGCTTTCAACAATTAGTAAAACACTAGAAAATGCAAAATGTCAAATAAGATACTGTCAGCTTCTTCACTTCAGAAAAAAATAAATGTTACTACCTTTATCTCATCAAAACATCATTTCTAAAAAGTCTAAGTTTTCAAATGCAGTTATACTGCATAAATGCTTTGAGTCATGAAAATCTGATTAAAGCAAAATGGAGGGGCTTTTGAAATAAGCAAATAGTACATTTAATAAAAAGGGATTTCTAAGGTATCCTATAAGAGATTACAAGGACTTGGGGGCCCCCTGTAGGCAAAACAATTTTCAATCATGATTACACAATTTCATTACTAGAGAAATTCAAGTTGTACTGCTTGGAGGGAAAAAACAGAATCACTAAAATTCTAACTGTAAACAGTGGACCAAAAAGTCACGATGGCTAGCTAGTTTTGCCTTCAGACATTCCATCATAACCTAATCATCTTTACCTACCCTAGAAAATACAACACAAATAGGAAAATTATGTGGTCAACAAACTGAGCTTGAATTTAAAATAACAAAAAGACCTGCTCAATCAAAAATAATCAGGAAAAGTAGAATGGTATTTTAGCAGGAAATATCCCACCTTTCCTTTCAATTCAACTTACTTTTAAAAATGAATGGAACACCCTCTGCCCAAAAGGATAGGCCTTTCACAACCTGCCTTCTGCCCTTCTCTCCAGATTCTTGACCCTCCTTTCCACCCTCTCATACTTTAACCTCTTACAGCTTTTCAAATATGCCTACATGTGTCTCTTCTGACCAATCTGATGTGTTCAATTGAAATAGTGCTTCAGGATACACTATTTCAAATGGAGCTGGTAGCCAAGAGACAGCATTTGTCTTGATGAGTACATCATCCTGGTCTGGATCTCAGCCTTGTACAATTGGGAACTGGATTTTCTTTTCTTCTTGGGTCTGTCAGCAGCAGAGTAACATTAAGTTCACAAGAGACTAATGTGCAAACTAGAAATGCCCCTCAGTTAACTATGTTAGTTTACACTGAGAACCATAACTGCCATATGGATCTGAATGCTCCTATCAGCATAACCAGTACATTTACTCCCTGTAGACCAATCTATATGGGAAGGCAAATTATAACCAGAATGTTGCTGAGTGAACGGGAAATCGGAGCAAGGGGACTTGTTTTTATGAAAAACGTTTAAGTGCATCATGCCAATGGCCACCTGGTGTGTCCATCTACGCATCAGGGATTTACAAACCATGGTAACAACAAGAGCATTCCATCCTCCTGCGCAGTGTTTGGATGGAAACTGCCCAAGTATATCTCCCTTACTGCTTCTTCCGCAGTCAGATTCTGACGAACCCTCCTTCCTTACCGATATGGCATTTCTTTAAATATAACGATATCTTCACTAAGTCTTGATCTCATCTAGAAGCCTTTCTGAAAAATTAACCTCCTGGCTCTGCAGAATATTTGGTGATTTTATAGATAACTTAGTAGCGAGCAACCTTACTGTCAAGCCTCTGGGTGAGGACCCTGGCCTCTGGATCATTCCTACATGCCACACATCCAGACAAATGCTGACTTGGCTACCAGACCCTTTTGAAAGAGCGCACCTCCAGCAGGTGTACGCATCAGACTGGTAGAGGGAGACACATGAAGCGCACCTGCCGTCCACACTTGCTATCCTTCAACGTTCATCCTCAAGACTCCAGTCTTTCTTAATTGCCCAACATAGGAGGTTTCCACAGCACATTATTTATATCATAGTTTAAAAAAGGGTATCAAACTGTAATATAATTGTTTTTGCACCAGTCCCCTTCAATAAACTGCTTATTTCAGGAGACCACAGAACATATTTATAATTATCTTTAAATTCCCCAACTTTGCAACATAAGTGTTTTAAACATTATTTTTGTTTTGAAGAGCGAAATTCAACACTGTAAAGACCACTTCATCAGCTACCATGAAGATCGGCACACGCAGAGGCTCCACAGGTGTGCTAAGAGGCTCCCTCTGCGGTACGCATACCTAGGCCCCGAGACTGCTGCCGTGTCCTCACTGGTGTGACGTTCATGAAGAAATTTCTCCATCAGGGTTACTGATGTATTTAGAGGACAACTGTTCATACTATAAATTCAGGCAATTCACAATAATGTACTAATTGATCTTTCTGTTCCCATCTCCCTCACAGCCACCTTTCTTTTTATCCACTGTCATTTTTCTGTTATCTGACTCATTAATACGAAGACAAAACTATTTCCATATTTAGATATTCTTAAAATGTTAATAATGTCATAAAAAGCTCTACAATTCAATTTCTTTAGCAAAGACTGAAAATTTCATTATCCAATTCACTATCCACCATGAGACAATTAGCATGCTATGCCTAATCTCCCTTTGAAATAAAACTCAGAACTATCTACTCACATGGACCTTAGAGATCAGTGGGTTCAACTACCTGTTCTTTCAGAAAACCCCTTTCTTTTACATTTCTGACAGAAGGTAATCCAACCCCTACAAGACCAGCTGAAGTTTCAAGGAACAGAATACCTGACAAAACTGTAAAATCTCTCATTAGTTTAAGTGCTATACTCAAGAGTTAAAGTAAATAAATGAATCCTCCACCCCTACTAAATCTTCTAAGATTCCAGGTCAAGTTCTATGTTCTTTTATTTAATTAGGTTTCCAATACTGTACCATACCAATTCTCCATATTCTGCATGTGCTCTTAGACCATAATCTAAGAGTTAAGTAAGCTTTTCCATTCTGTACTTAAGCAATTGTAATTTCATTTACTCATTCAACAAATTTTTATGGAAGGTCTACTACGGTAAGATATTCTTCTGGGCACAGGGACAGAATGAATGAGATAGGTAAGTCCCCTGCCCTCACAGAGCCAACAAATATCTTCATTAAATTTCATCAGTTTTGTTTTGTTTTGTGGCTTGAGAATACCTATTTGTATATAATTATGACACCTAATAAATTAGCTCTTTCTCTCTTTGGTTTCATGTTTCAGAAATACCTCTACCAATGGAGCAAGCACAGCTAATTCTATAGAAGGGGTGGGGAATTGGCTGATATTAATCCAATCCTTCTGTCTGATTTGGAGGCATACAGTTTAATAAGGGCACATGAGAAGATTTAGGCACTATGATGACTATTCCCTGGGCTTCTAGTGAATTCAAAGGCAGCAATAATTCTACAACAAAAAGCTACCATATTTCTAGAGAACCAGAGGTCTTTTAGAGACAAGGTCTTTTAGAGACTGTTTAGAAATATGGAAGACAGAGCTAGTCTGACTTCAACGTTTCAACATGAATGTACACAACTATGTGGGTCTTGGGAATACAAGGAGCTTCTTTGTGAAGACATAGATCAAGCTAACCAAAACTGTTTGTATAATCCAAGAAGAGAGATATCCTAGACCATGGCTGAATTTGAATTAGAGAATAAACCCTTAATTTTACAAATGAGGACACCAAAGTTCAGATAGACTAAGTAACTTAACTAAACTCAAAGAGCCTACAATCCATAACCTTTAGTTCTCTGACTCCCTGAAGAGTGGTCTCTATTAAAATGCAAGAAAGACCAATTTTTAAAAAGCAGAGTTTAGAAAGCCAATGTGAAAAACTCAGAAAAGTTATCAGCAGGTTATGTAGGAAGTAGTGTAGTCTTAAAGTAGGAAGAATAACCAAAACAAAATTTCTGAATGAGCCTTATCATTAGAAAAAAATATATATATGACATACCTACAAATTCAAAATAGACCACAAAAAGAGTAAAAAAACTCATCAAGCACACACACTATCTTAAACTTTTAAAGGCTATCTATCTGCACTGGAGACATACACATTACACATACACATTAAATCTGCTCTTGGCAAATTTTAATTAGTAAGTATACTAACCATACACTAAGCATATGCAGTTCCACTGTCAAGACAGCAAAGGTTTTATGGAGCGTCCACTTTAGGACAAGAAAGGCTTATATTGCTGACATGTATTTCTAAAGGGAATAAAAAATTATACTGCTCATATCTTCATCACACACACACACACACACACACACACACACACACACACACACACACACACTGTTGACTGGCTTGATCAATGGACCTGTAATTCAAAGAGTAAGAAATACCCCCCTAATTATATATTTGTGATTCAGCACACTCTTCACAACTCAGAACATTCACTCTCCCAAAGGCTGTAAAGATTATAAGGAGACATGATCTTAATGGAAATAGAGTAACTTTAATAAAACTAGACCATATCCAAAATGCTACCTCCTTGATAAAAGCTTATGAGATTCCTTCAATGTCTTCTGAGTTCCAGAAAAGCTGCTCTATTTCCATTATGGTTATTACATGAAATGAAAATAATCCTTCACACACCTTAACAGAAACATTATGGTAAATAAAGCACACTCACAGAACAAAATAAATCATTACTTTACAAAGGTCATGTTTTTCCTTTACAGAAAACTAACTTGAATAACCAGGTGTGGCAATATATTTCAGCCCCAAGCCCATCTTTCATACATCAGCCAGGGCTGAAGGAGAGACAAGATAAGTGGCAGAGAGAAATCCATTAATGGGGTGGGGAAAAGTAAGTTTACATTGTTCACATGGAAAATAATACAATAATTAATAAATAATATAAAAATAAACTCTGTGTTTCGCATACTC